TATACAAGTTAAGCTCCGTATCACAGTTTAACAAACTAATTAAAGTGCGCTAAAATTGGACCAAGCCGGAGACTTTCTTCCCAAAATTTGAGACTTATGAATTTCCAAAAAAAACTTTAGTGAGAGAGATGGAGGAAGAAATGGCCCTTAATAGTCCACTTTTAAAAAACCTGAATTAAATTTTATAAAAATATAATATACTAAGCTTAAACCTACAAATTAACTTTAGTGACCAAAGGAGAAATAGTGTCTAAAACCATTATTTATATAAATCCATTTATGGTCAAAATTATTAAATTATGTATAGCCACTTTACCTTCGTTTAAAAAAAAATCATTTTCAAATTTCACATCAACCGAATGTTGTTGAATCATTAAAATACGATTTTATCTCAAACACTGGTTAAATGCATAATTAACCACATACAATGGAGGACATTAATTGAAATCAAAAACAAATTTCAAACAAATGTTGAAAACTGCAGCAAACGCATTACAGCAATGCTGGCCACCAGCACAGCTTTGCTTCCCACGCACATTCGAATGGAGGACATTAATGGACAATTCCAAACCAAAATGTGCAATTAATGTGTTCTACAAAATAGGGAAATTTTTATGATTATCAGTTGTTGGACAAGTCCAGAAAGACATCATCCCACACAATGAAAAAGGCACAAATTGATTTGAAATGGCTGAAAGGGTAATTTGTTTTGGTGTAATAATTCCGGACATTAATATTGTTTTGACGATGAAATCATTTGAAGATTTTTTTCTGTGGTTTTATAGTGGAATGGGAAATATGAGTTGATTTATCAGATGTAGTGCTGACACAACTCTACTATAAGAAAAAGTAAAAAAGCTGTAGGTTCGTCCGGTCCGAACTTTGAATACCCTCCACCATTTGGAACGAAATTGGCAATTCTCAAAAAAAAATCCGTTAAAAATTCTGTTAGAATCTTAAAAATACCGAATGTGGCATTAGCACATTAGGGTCTATACGACGACATGGACCTGCATAGACAATTCTCTTTGTTAGGCTGTAGTATCCATTGCGAACTTCAAATACCAAATTTGAAAGAATTCCGGTTAATAATGTCGTTAAAATCATCAAAATACCAAATATCGGGAGGTGCAGTTATATGGGGGCTATACGAAGACGTGGACCTGCACAGACAATTTTCTGTCTCAGGCTGTAGTATCCATTTCGAACTTCAAATACTAAATATGAAACTATTCCGGTGAATAATGTCGCTAAAATCATCGAAATACCGAAATCATCAAATACCGAATATCGGGGGGGGGGGGGGTACCGTTATATGGGGGCTATACGAAGACGTAGACCTGCTCAGACAATTTTTGTCATAGGCTGTAGTAACTGTTACGAACTTCAAACGAACTTACGAACTTCGCTAAAATCATCAAAATACCGAATATCGAGAGGTTCCGTTAAATGGGGGCTATACGAAGACGTGGACCTACATGGCCCATTTTCAATACTAAAAGTCCTGCAGACATAATACACATTTGAGTAAAATTTTATCAACCTACTTCATATCGTTCGGAAGCTAGAGTGATTTCCACAGACGGACAGACGGACGAACATTGCTAAATAGAATTTTATGCTGATCAAGAATATATATACTTTGTGGGGTCTAAAATTTATATTTCGAGGTGTTACAAACGGAATGACAAACTTAAAATACCCTCCATACTATGGTGGAGGGTATAAAAACGGTTGAATCTGTATATGAGTATCCTAATGAAATGCAAGTTTGTTCTATATCGCATCAGCCAATAAGTTTCCTCCTTAAAATTCCCCTTATTTAAAAACCAATCATTCTATTTATTCGACACCCTATCCTCCCACACAAGCATGGCAAATGCTTCCACATGACAATCTACAGAAATGACAGCAAATTCAAAAGGCAATTTGTTAGATAGACAATTACCGAACAATACAACAAAAAACCCGTTGCAAAAATACCAACGGATGTGTATACACAACAATAAAGCTGTGATTTGTTGTAAACTTCATAATAACTATTTTCTCCATCTCTTTTATTCGAATATTTATATCAACAGGTGCTGCTGGATGTATATTTTTTCTATTGCAAAACAGCAGTCTGTTGCTGTTAGTCCGCATAAATTACAATGCTTACCATGGCCTATTCAGTCCACCTGGCTATTTACAAATGTTGCCTTTTAGCAAGAAATATTTCCGTAGGAGACTTAACAATCTAAGGTCAGGGCTATTGTATCGCAACAGTTGTTGGGGATTTTAATTAGCATAGATGTCACAGCAGAAAAAATATAACAACGCTAAACAAAACATGACTTTTAGCATTATTAATTAATGTGGCTGTAAAATATTGCTGAATAGTGATTGCAAAAAATAATGCACAAAACCTATACCCTACGCTAGCACGTATTCTGCTTTGGTGGATGTTTGTAAATTCGGATATGAATTCTGTCTTTCTTTTCAGAAGACTGAATATACATTCCTACAGTTTCATAATTTGTATGTCAGTCAGTTAAGCTTTGCTTTCATTTTTATTTCATAGCAAGTAAGCAAAGGCAATAATCGGCTGGGCCCTCCAGGTGATAACCATAATATAAATGGTGTAGTAGGGCATAAAAAACGGCTTAATCATTTTTAAGGAATTTAAAATCAAATGTAACCTATTAATGATGTCTTGATTTTGCGATAATAATGAGAATTTTGATTATTTTTTCCCCTCAGCCATATGGACACAGATGATATAGTTCATTTTATATGGTCAAATGATAGCTCATCGAAATAACGATTGTAGACCGTAAGTTCCTTTGGTCCAAATCAGTATAAAATTGGTGCTGCGCAATATTATTATAAAACTTAGAACGAGTTCGAAGATGAGAAATATCCGCCCACTTCTTCTGATACCTCCCCAACAAAAGTTCAAAACTTTCACAGAAAATAATTTAGCTTCATCTAATTTTGTGCAAACTCTGCAAATCCTCATATATTTAACAGTGACTAACTATATAAGGTCAGTACCTCTCCCACAAAGGCTCAAATTTTCCAATATTCATATCTCTTACTAGCAGCCCAGGGCTTCGTCAGCGAGAAATCCACCTTAAATTTTTAGATTCATTCCAACAGTTCGTGTAAGGCTTTATTAGTACTCAAAATTCACAATTTGTTCAGTTTGACAAACATTTTGATATCAAAACTTCATATCTCTTTTTAGATATAAAATCTTTCATTTTAAAGTTTAACGACAGGGATATTAGTAAAACCATTGCACAATGGACCCATATCTAATTTTTCTGCCTGAAACTATTTCAACGTCTCCAAGAAACAAGCCGTGACTTCAAATATCATTTAGTACTTTCGAACAATAACCTTACATACCCTCAGATACCAAAAGTGACACCCATATAACATTTCAGGATTTCAACTCTATTCCTTCATCCAATACCAAATTTAATACTTTTTAGTACTTCTTGTGAAGTACACATTTCCAAAACTACCTATTTGGCACAAACCTACCACCTACAGAGACCTCAATATAAAATTTCGGGATTCCAGCTCTATTCCTTCACTCAATACCAAATTTAGTACTTCTTAGTACTTTTCGTACAAAAATAGGACGCATTTCAAAAAAACTGCTAAATCTCAAACGAAAATTCCAAGAAAGATCGGGATCGGATAGCAGACTTCGGGATTCCAGCTCTATCTCTTGGTCCAATACCAAATTTAGTACCATTTCATAGTTCCAATTATATTCCTTCACCAAATTTAGTTAAATTTAGTACCATTCGAACAATTATAGTATGCATTTGGTAAACCTCCACCAGATGTCAATTTCATGTACCAACAGAAACCTTAATATCAGATTCCCGAACTTTATTTCTATGCCTTCACCCAATACCAAATAGTACTTTCCGTACAATTACAGTACACATTCCCGAAATCACCTTCATATTTCCAAGTTACATATTAACAGCGACCCTAGTACCACATTTCAAACTTCAAGCACTATCTCTTTACAAAATACCAAATTGTGCCAAATATTTGTACTAAGTAAAGTACTAAGTGGTACTAAATTTGGTATTGGACGACGGGATAGAAATAAAATTCGGAAATTTAATATTGAGGGCTCTCTTTGGTAGCTGGGCAACCTGGCAACCAACAACAGGGACCCCCATAAAAAATTTCAACTTTATCCGTTCATCTTAAACAAAATTATTCCGAATTTATTGCCATTTAGTACAGTTCTTATATATAGTACGAATTTCCACAACCACCTTCATATATCAAATTTTACTTCCATTTTAGAACTTTTCGTAACCTTAAAGTTCGAATATCCAAAAACCCTATCCTGCACTCTATCATTTACTCTCATTTCAAATTTCAATCCATTTCTAGCTCATTCAGTTTTTCCCATACAAAGTATTCAATTTGTAGTACATTTTAGTACTTTTTGTACATTGTAGTAAATATTAGTACTTTTCGTGACTTTTTAGTACGAATTTCCAAAAATCCAGCCTTATTACACGCCTACGCGCCAAGAGAGACCATCGTGTAAAATTAGATTCTAGCTTCAGCCATTTCGTCTAGGATTATCCGTCGATCAGTCTGTTAGTTCACTACTATTTTATATATAGAGAAAAGAATTCTATGATTTATCTATGGTCGAGTGTTGCGACATTATTTTTAAATAAAAAGTACATTTTAGTATTATTGCTTATAACATTTATTCTTCTTAACTCCCGTTCAAAGTCACCGCTACTTATTTTAATGATTTCTAATTGCCTGTCATGATTTCCTCTCTTCCTTAGATAACAATACCCAACCTTCTAAAGAAGCAAACAAAGCAAATTATTAACATTTGAATAAATTTGTTTTCTCATTTTCATTCATTTGTTTATTAAAATCCACTCTCTCCCACGCACTCACTCGACTATCTGGCCTTTTAATAATTCCCATTTTATTTTCTATTTTTTCTTCTTTACTTCCAGGTGCTTCGTTGGATCGCCGCAGCGGTAAATTAATTGAATCGAAAATGAAAGTGCTCTACGAGCAAATGCCTGTGATTTACATTTATGCTATTAATACCACGGCCGGCAAGGACCCTAAGCTGTACGAATGTCCCATTTATCGTAAGCCACAGCGTACCGACTTGAAATATGTTGGATCCATTGACTTTGAGACGGATTTTAATCCAAAACATTGGACACTGCGTGGCGTGGCCCTGCTATGTGATATTAAGTGAAGAATTTATGTTAAGGATGGAAAAAGGATATTGTTATATCGTTATTGGTATATGTGTGTGTGAGTTTGTCAGTAGATGTGTGTGTGTGAAACAGAGTAATGAGCAAAGTGTGTGTGAATGGCTAGAAGCTAAAAATAAACAATTATCCTAAAGACCACAACATTAGCAATACCAAAAGATATAATCTTCAAGAATTATGTTAGACATTTTATTGCTTAGAAAACTACTCGCAATACACTTTTTGAAATACGAAAATAGATGCATTGTTCATCTTCTGGGACCACCAAATACATAAACTTAAGCTTTTGTAGAATCAATTCAATTTATATGGCTTCTCTCATAATTAGGCAACATTTAATTTTTACCTCTATGGTCTATATAGTGAGACAAGAAAATTCGCCACATAGTATTCTTGTATTTTTAATAGTTACAATACAGAATCTACCGTTAAGCCCATTTAAAATTCTAATTGGAACTTGGGAACCCCACTAAATGGTCTGTGATTTATCTCATTTTTCTTGCCTCAACTAAAAAAAATTAGAAATATGAACCCAAAATCTACCTAGTGGTTGAAGAACTTTTGAGGCCAAGGTATTAGTATAAAATGCGCGTCCAACCGTAAGGGTGACCAAGCCAAGTTGATTTAATCCTTATCTATGAGCGAATTTTTTATACCCTCCACCTCGAACTTCGTCATTCCGTTTGTAATGTCCCTAAATATTCGACGTAGACCCCATAAAGTATACATATTCCTGATCAGCATAGAATTCTGCTTGTCTGTCTGTTGAAATCACGATACAGCCAACATTATTTAACGTAGAGCTTTCAAATTTGGCAGATGGTTAATATCGAAAATCGCTATATCGGTCCACATTTTACAATACTCCCATACAATGGTAGCATTATTTGGTATTTTAATGATTTAAGACACATTTTTTACGGAATCGTCCCAAATTTGGTATTAGGAATTGACAAAGGGTTCTACATCTGGTGGCAAAGCATTGTTAATAAACGTCTACGATTTCCCAAAGCACCTATAAAACGAACCTCCCGATATTCCTGTTGTGATGATTTTAGCTATTTTTATACCCTCCACCATACATAGTATGGAAGGTGTATTAAGTTGGTCATTCCGTTTGTAAATCATCGAAATAATCATTTTAGACCCGACAAAGTACATATATTCTTGATCAGCTTCAAATTTTAAGACGATTTAGCCCGGTCCGTCAGTCTGTTGTAATCACGCTACAGTCTAAACGAATTAAGATAGGAAGCTAAAATTTTGCACAGATCTCTATTTTGTTTGCCCCCATATAACGGTACCCTCCGATATTCGGTATTTTGATAACTTTACCCACATTTTTCAACGGAATTGTCTGAAAATCCACACAAGGAGTTCCTTGTGGGTGCTTTACCCCTGAGAGAGAATTGTCTATATAGGTCCACGATATCGTATATCCCCCATATAACTGTACCCCCGATATTCGGTGTTTTTATGATGTTAGCCACATTTTTCAACGGAATTGTCTGAAAATCCACACGGAACAGAATTGTCTACATAGGTCTACGATATCGTATATCCCCCATATAACTGTACCCCCCGATATTCGGTATTTTAATGATTTTACCCACATTTTTCAACGGAATTATCTAAAAATCCACACAAGGAGTTCCTTGTGAGTACTTTACACCCAGTCCTAGATTTGTCTTAATAGGTCCACTATATCATATATACCCCCATATATCGGCAGCTTCCTATATTAGATATTGTAAAGATTAAAAAAAATTAATGGATTTTATTTTTTTGAAAATTTTCTAATTCGTTCCAAATGGTGGAGGGTATTCAAAGTTCGGCCCGGCCGAACTTACTGCTTTTTTACTTGTTTTTAAATATTTTTTTTTTGTAATTTGATACTCAGAGTTTGTAATGGGTTTTATCATCCTATTCTATATCCTATCGGTACCCCTCCCGATATTCGGTATTTTTCCGGGCTATAATCGGTGCTTTGATGATCATATCCACATTTTTTCACGAGTTATTCCTAGTTTGGTGTTTGAGACTCGCAATAGTTATGTCCGCCCGAACTTAATGTTTTTTTATCCCAACACTGTCATTCCGTTTGTAACGCCTCGAAATACTTATGCCAGACCCTGCAAAGTATCTGTATTCTGGATCAGCGTAAAGTCGATTTAGCGATGTCCGTCTGTCTGTTGTAATCACGCTATCTTTCGAACGAACTGGGAAAGAAGGCTAAAATTGAGCATACATGTGTATTTTGCCAGTAGGCAGGTTAAATTAGTAAATGAGCCATGTCGGTCTACATCTTCGTATAGCCCTCATATAACGGTACCTCCCGATATTCGGTATTTTGATGATTTTAACGACCGGAATTTTTGTGTTGAAAGTTCGTAATAGGTACTATAGGCTATAACAAATAATCGCGTATGCATACCCACGAATTCGTATGGCCCTCATATAACGATATTATTCACCAAAATTGTTTCAAATTTCATATGTGAAGTTCGTTATTTATACAACATCCTGGGACAGAAAATTGCCTATGAAGGTCCAAGACCTCAATACTATGGTAACTTCCTATATTCTTTTTTTTGTTTTGGCAATAGTTTTCAATGAATTTTTTTTCCGAACATTTCCAAATTCCTTTCAAATGGTGGAGGGTATTCAAACTTACTTCTGTTTTACTTGTTTGTTTTACATTCTTTCAGCTTTGTAACCGAGTATTTATAATTTTGCATGTGAAGCATGGGCACTACATAAATATTACACAGTGTATTATGTCTTTGTGCTTATGTTTGTAACATGGAGATGGAAGTCATTTGTCTGACCCAAGCATGAACCCTATTGAAATTGCTGATAATTGGTCCACATTTAAGTATACCTCCCATATATATCTTCGCCCAATTTTTCGTTTATTGTGCGCCAAATGGGTTATATTAGCCCAAATTGAGTGTGTTTTAATACACGAGTTCGAATTCAGTCTAGAAGCAAGTATTTCAAATTTTCTGAAAATCGGTTAAGATATAGCTGTAGCTCCCGTATACATGTTATATCTAATTTGGTGTTAAAGTTCTTCACATTCGTGCTCCATAATAATGATATTTGGTTCCAGATATCTCAAATAGAGCAGAAATACATCTGTTAGCTCAGATTTGGATTTAGATCCCATATATATCATTAACCGATTTCAGATTTTTGTGCACCAAATCGTTACTATCCGACGTTCCGACATACGAACGAATTTAACCTAGAAGCAAGTACTTTTAATTTGGAATTTGAAAATCCCATATAAATGTTTCACACGATTGATGTTAAATTCCCTCATATTCGTCATATGCACTCTACAACAATAATATTTGGTACCCGATACCAGCTCTGAAATACCTGAAATATATATATATATATATATATATATATATATATATATATATATATATATATATATATATATATATATATATATATATATATATATATATATACCATACGGTCTGGTGGCGGATATAAAAAAGCTCTTTCCTAAATCCTGCGAAGCATGGTTTAGGCTATACATACTTCACTTAAATTCCCAAGATAAACGTTTATTTTTTACGGGAAACTATACTAAATATTCATAGTGCTGCAGGGTATCAAATAGTTATCACCTTTCTTTACCACTTTTAACCAATGATTACAGAAGTGATTCAAAACTCTATCAAATAGAAACAACTGTTTCCTAAATCTTGCGAAGCATGGTTTAAGCTAAATAGATAACGCTTTTGGGGTTATCTTGATCCTTGCGAATTAGATTTCTGTTGTAAATTTATTTAATTTTTACTTTTAATTAAAATACAAATTTAACTACATCGAAACTCTCAATTACCTAAAAATGGGCTTCCCAACCAATTTCAAAGTTATTTACAAATTAACTTACATATCTAACGAAATGAATTTCACTTAAATTCGACTCTCCCGGTATTGAACACACACTCTACATATTTGCTGTTCAACCCCCAACACACTTCCCGTCATTAGAAATTGAGGACTGTTTGAAGTCTTTCATCTACTCAGCAATAATGAACCAAATAACGAATTAAATGACAATACAAACAAACTTTCTTGAATTATTTCAAATTACACAGCTAAAGAAATTACTTTTTGCATTACTACGTAATGAGTAACGACGGTTTCGTTATAGCTTATTTTTTCTGTTAAAATCTATGAAATGAAGAATTAGTCTATACGATGGCGTGTACCTGCATAGCTATTACAATATTCAAATGCGAAACTTGAAAAAGATCTGTTTATAATGTAGCTAAAATCATCAAAATACCGAATATAGGGAGGTACCATGGGGGCTATAAAACGTGGAACTTCAAATGCGAAATTTGAACCAACTCCGGTAAATAATGTCCCTAAAATCATCAAAATAGTGAATATCGGGGGTACCGACAATAGAATTTTATGCTGATCAAGAATATATATACTTTGTGGGGTCTAAAATGTATATTTCGGGGTGTTACAAAAGGAATGACAAAGTTAATATACCCTCCATACAGTGGTGGAGGAAAAAATTAGTTCCACATTTTTTAAACAATTCTCACACATATAGTCCAATTAATGAAGCAATTGCTTTATTTTCAATACACCTACCTACATACACACATTTATACACTTAACTTTGCACTACTGAGTACTCTCTTATTCCAATGTTTAAATTTGTTCCTCGCTTCCAAAGCAATTAAAAGAAAATAATGAATTAAATTGCCGAAGGCAAATAATAATTGCGCGTATTTAAAAGATTAACACAATAGAGCGTTTACGGTTTCGAATTATTTACAATTTTATTATGAATGTGGAAATATGAATGAAATGAGTGTGTGTCCATGTGTTTATAAAGGTTTATACTCATTTATACTTATGTAGTTGTACAATGTTATAAAAAAACAATAAATGTAGTAATAAAGCCATACACCATAGAGAAAATAAAATATTGTATGTATATTTCATATTTTTAAATGGGCACTATTTTGCAAAAAGTAAGTAAGTAAGCTGTATTTTATATTTTCTAGAACAATAATATATGGAATATACCCAACTGTTATATATCTTCAAAACTGTTTAAAAGCAAAATTTGTTGAGTTGTGATAGGACAGGGTTATAATATACATACATAAGCGCTAAAATCAGTGTTATAGTGATAATTTTTCGTAATTACTCATATGTAGATTTAAAGCTTGTTTCATATTCTAAAAATAGGAGGAGCTAAAATATCGCCATATTCCTTTGTGGACATACTCCTAAGGCATGGCATACTATTCGTGCGCTGCTGACTTTTGATCTAGCTTAGAGAGGTTTCATATGAACTTAGATTAAACCGAACTAAAAAGTATTAGTCGGGTTTGCCGACAGATGTATACACTCAGCCAATGTGTGTTTATTTAAATACGTATTTTGACTTGATTGCCTTGGAATGGTTCCGAAAGGTCCACGGAAAGGTTTGATATAGATTTGGACTATATCGAACGGTTTCTTCCACTTTATATGAGATATGCCCTCCATACTATGGTGGAGGGTATAAAAATAAGAATTCATTCCCAATTTTATAGGAATTTTAAGCCTTCTGTGGGGGAGGTACCAGAAGGAGTTGGCGATAAATTCCATATTCAGTTCAGATACACCACTTTGTAAAGAACCACAGACTTGTTTCGCAAGTTATGAGAGATATGTATAAGTACTGAAAAGTGTGATATATGTGGAGGAGGTACCAGAAGCGGTGGGTAGATTGATATCGGCCACACCAGATCACATTAGATCTTGCGTTAGTAAAAATCTTTGTATGTGTAAAATTTGAAGAGATTCGGATGCACATTTCGCTTTTTATTATATATATGTATTTATCCTCCTCTATTCTATGGAGGGTATATTAACTTTGTCTTTCCAATTAAGCCATGTCCGTCCGTCTGTCTTGCTGTTCGACTGTCCATCTATGGAAATCACTCTAGGTTCCGAACGAAATGAAGTAGGTCTATAAAATATTACTCAGATGTGTTAGGTTAGGTCTGCGGGACTGGGCTATATTGTATATGTAAATAAATAAATAAATAAATAAATAAATAAATATATATATATATATATATATATATATATATATATATATATATATATATATATTTATACATATATTTATATATATATGTGTGTTAGGTCTGCGGGACTTAAAAAAAAAAAAAAAATATATATATATATATATATATATATATATATATATATATATATATATATATATATATATATATATATATATATATATATATATATATATATATATATATATATATATATATATAATATATATATATATATATTTACACGAATTCATTGTAAATTGTGGAACATGGAACATGCGTTCCCATTATATATTATTATAAGAAATATCTTTGCATTAAACTGTCAATATAGGTCTAAGTTTTTGTATAGCCCCCATATAACTGATATTCGGAGTTTTGCTGATTGGTGCCTCTCTTTTCACCGGAAATCATATGAAAGATAATTTGCTTGTACAGGTCCACGTCTTCGTATAGGTCCCATATAAAGGTATTTGGTATTTTGACGATTTTAGCGACATTATACACCGGAATTGTTTCAAATTTCGTATTAGTCCATGACGAATATTTCATATACAGGTCCACGTTTTTGTATAGGCCTCCAAACGGTAAATCTCTATATTCGATATTCTTGTAATTTTAGCAATATTTTTCTAGAAATTTGCAAATTTCTTTCAAATTGTGTAGGATATTCAAAGTTTGGCCATTTCATTTGTTAGTACTCAAAAATCACTACTTGTTCAGTTTGAGAAAATTTTTAAATTAAAATTCACACATGGTTCTAAATTTTCAGACTTTCAAGGTTAAATACATGGTAGGATTAAGAAGGTAATGTCATGTAATCATATGTTAGCATTTTTTTCAAATTTGTACATTTGACATCATCTAATTGTCAAAATCTATATTCATAAATCCACTGTACACAAACACACAAAATCAGAGATGGAATCTGTTTTTTATGCATTGAAATTCGAAAAGGCAAATTACAGAAAATGCCGAGCTGGAATACTAATTTGAAATGAGGTTGTCTCTATTTCATTGTACCATGGAGTAATATATTATTCAAGTTGTTACTCTTTCGAAAAGAATAATAGAAAAGAAATGTTATCTTTTCCACCGAAAGTCTTCAAGGTCTTACATTTTCTAAGTTTTCTAAGGAAATTGTCAGTAAAACCATTGCACATCCAATTTTTTTGTCCTAGCTATCTTAAGGTCTTCATATTTAAACTGTAGAAACAAACAATATCAAATTCCAGGATTTTAGCTCTGTAATTTCCCCAATTGCCAATTTTAGTACCAATATAGTACGTATATCCAAAACCAGTTCCTTCTCCCAACCACAGGCCCCAACATTGATATCTATATCTTCATTTCAGCATTCCAAATCTATTCCTTGACCTAATAACATATGTAGTCCTTTTTAGTACAATTTTAGTACCATTTAGTACTTTTCGTAAAAATATAGGATGTATTTTCAAACCTCCGCCAAATTTCAAACACAATTCAGTACTAATTAGTACTTTTCGTACAATTATGGTACACATTTTAAAAACCACCTCCATACTTCAATTCCAGATACCAACAAATACCTTTATATCAAATTTCGGGATTCCAGCCTTATCCTTTTTTCCAATACCATTTAGTGCTTTGCGAACAATATCAAAAACTATCTCCTCAATATCAAAATTATGGATTCCAGGCCTATCCCTTCACTCAATACCAAATTTAGTACTTTTCGTACAAATATAGGACGCACTTCCAAGCGGCCGTCAAATTTCAAGCGCAAATACCATCAGTATCAATATAACAAATTTCAGAGTTTTATCTCTATCCCATCACCCAACACCAAATATAGTACTTTTTAGTACTTTTCGTACAATTATATTAAAGATTTCCAAAACCACCTGCATATGTCCAGGCAATACATGAACAGCGATCCTTATGATTTAACGTACGCCCAGTTTAGTTATATGACACAGAATATCGTACATTTATTTAATTTTAGTATCATTTGAGTTTACATTTTACAAAATGCTGTCGTTACATACCAGTAATTTTTAGGAACTCTAATTTTAGTAAGTAATTTTAATTTTAGGAACTCTAACTTTATACTCGTACATTTGCTAAATATCGTGACATACAGGTTGAGATAAAAAAATGCAACAAAGTCAAACGCCATAACTTTTAAATTTTTTTAAATTTTAATCAATGAAAGCAAAAAATGTCGGAAATACCATCAAATTTTAGAATAAGTTTAGATTTGTTCGAATTGGGCACCTTTGGCACGAATTATGGCCTTCAAACGGCCAATGAAACCGTCACGCGCTGCCCGAATGTTGCTCTGCGGTATTGTGGTGTATTCCCGGCGGAGCGCTTGCTTAAAGTGATCGACACTTTGGTAGTTTTTAGTGCCAGCCTTGCTTTCCAAAATACCCCAGAAACAATAGTCCAACGGATTCGTATCCGGAGATTTTGGTGGCCATTGTGCCCTGGAAATGAAGCAAGAAACCTCATTTTGTAACCATTCTTGCGTGGCGCGTACTGAGTGCGATGCTGTTGAGTCCTGTTGGAATGTCCAAGGTCTGCGGCCAAAATTTTTGCGTGTCCAAGGCTTTAATACACCCTCCAGAATATTTTCGCTATAATATTCGACATTTATTCTGATACCACGGTCGATTAATACGAGCGGAGAGCGACAATCGGCTGTTATGGCGGCCCACACCATCACCATGGCCGGCGCTTGAGTTCTGGTGGCCAACGAAGGTGCACATTTTCAACTGACCTCTTTGCAAGTAAACACGATAATTTTGTTTGTTTACGAACTGCTGGACAACGAATGTTTTCTCATCGGAGAAAATTAAATTCGGCAGTTCACCACTTTCAGCCAAGTTGCTTAGAAATGACAGCAGTCTGAAGTTGGTTGCAGTTTTTCCATCTCACCCGTATCCTTATTTCCAAATTTCAGGATTCCAACTCTATTTGTTCTCCCAAAATTTAAATTGTACCAAATTTATTACCATTTAATACAAAAAACTACCTACATTCCTCAGACTTTGAATGCAATAGTAATTTAATTCTTAATTCATTTTTCAGAATTCCAGCTCCATCCGTTTCTACAAATTTAGTACCGTTTAGTACTTTTCATATATTTCCGAAACTACCTCCTCACATCCACTCTACTCCTCATCCTTGATTCCCATTCCAAATTTCAAGTCTTTAACTCTAACTGTTCACATGATACAAAATGGTACCAAATGAAGTACATTGACCCTCATTTCAAATTTAAAAGTTCTAGCTCTACTGCTTCTTTAAATTCAAAGGGTGTCATATTTAATAACTTCTAATGCTTTTCGTACCATTCCAGTACGTATATCTAAAAACCTATTCTTATCTCACCCCTTCGGACCAAGATTGGCCCTTACCTAAAATTTTATGATTTTACCTTCAGCCGTTTCGTCTGGGCTTTGATGAATCGTTAAGTCGGTATTAGAAAGATATTCCCTCTTCCTAGAACCTGCATTGCAAATACTTACCAAATTAATTTTTTGAATGAACCTTTAACCCATTATCTGTAAATTTTCAGTTTGAAGGAACTTTTAGCCTTTATTAATTTAGTAACATATTTTATCAAGTCAAATATAGTATTTCATACATCCATAAATAAATAATTGAAATGAATCAACAACAAATATTTGTTTTGGCTTTTTTTCTCTGTCTAGCTTTTTTCACTTTATTGACTTATCAATGTTTGTAACATCGGCATCATCATCCTCTCGTCATCATCATCAACGGCGGTTGCAGCGACTCATTCTTGCAGAATAATTATAAATACATAATAATTATGGAATATTTCGATTTGATTTTGTATATTTTACTTTTTTACTTTTAACATTCTTTTGGTAAATATTTACATATTTTTTTTTTGGTTAAAAATATTTTATTTGAATTTTATCGTTTATATGACCAGTTATTTAAAGTAATATTTATTTTCTTCTTTTTTTGAAGGAATTCTTTTTTTTGGGGGGATAACATTTGACCGCACTGGTAGGTGTTTGTTCTATGTCTAGGTATTGCGGCTGCTGCTGCTGCTCCTCATCATCTAAAGATTTTCATTTTGTGTACATGTGTGTGTTTCTGTGTTTATTTTCAACAACCAAAAAATATTTTCATTTTATTCAATAAAACTAAAATTTAAATATGAGTTAATTTTTTTCAAAGAAATTCAATCATTCAATGAAATTACGACTGATGTGGAGTAGCACATACATATTCATGTTTAGTTGGAATTTTTCAGTAAACATTTATGCTTAATTATTTTTAATTTATTTCATATTTGTATATATGTATGTTAATAAAATGATAATTTTTCTTCAGACTAGTTATACAAAGGTTATGTTTTCTGTTTTTGGGGTTTATGTATTCCATATTGTGGAAATAAAATAAAAAGTTTTCTCTTAATTTCTTATTGAATAAATATTAATTTGTGTACATATAATCAACCCAAATGGGTGTACATCTATTTGAAAATGTTTGCAGTTGCGAAAGAAATAGTCTTCATGGTTTTTAAATGGGGGTTATTTTTATAAATTCAAAATCAAAGCCTGCGAAAAATCAGGAAAATGATGAAGGGTGCTAATTATATTTGAGTAGTCGAAAGCACAATTATCGGCTCCTGAGAGGCCGATAAAATTCCGAGGAAAATTCCGAATGCTTATGATTGAGTTCCACTGATGTCTAAATGCAAACAATATATTGACGACGCCTGGATTAGTTCGATACACGGAGATAGAGATTCACTTACACACGTGTGTTATAAGACTTCATGTCCATTAGAGTTCCCTGGGACAAGGGCCCCCACCTAAATTGCTGCCATTTTCTATGGAAATGTAAGTTATTGGCAAGATGAGCTTCTCGGAAATAGTTTCAAACTGCATTTCTGCGTATGTCCATAGTATGGAGCATATTTATTCCAGGACGTCGCGAAAAGTAACAAACTTGTCACGTATACGGAAAATAATATGGACAAATAATAGGGTAGTTGACTCTTGGTAGCAGACTAGTCGGATATAATTAAGGATTGGGATATCATCCCGATATTGGGACATACAATCAGCTCACAAGACATTTGTAATATTTCTTCTTATGGTCTTACATATATCTAGCTAGGTCCCTGACCAGAAGTTTGGACCACATATCTGCCACAGGCATCAAGAGATCGTCAGACGTTTTCTTAGCTACACCTCCACACTTTCGGTTACAAAATACCAGATCAGAATGATCGACAAACCATAGCGTCCTTTAGGGTAGACATTCGGAGATCACAGATCACAGGATAAAAACCTATAGCTGATCAGATTGCGTGTGTGAACATTCAATTAAGGTAGACGACAAAAGTTTTCAGTTCTCATGCTTCTAACGGATAGGACTTCTACTATCACAAAAATATTAGATCCATCAATCTTTATGTTCCAACTGATACATTCCCTCGTACATTAAAGATTTGATCAACCTATCTCAACTTTTCACAAGATCTAATGTCAGTACCAATATAGCAATGTGCGAAGTTTGAATAGAACTGGGAAATAACTTCGAGGTTTATAAAAGTGAATGACTATTAAGAAATTGCGACCCTTTGAGGGAGAGGTATCACACAGAGGGAACCCACAAATCACACCTTGATGCGAGATCAAATACTGTCTAATTGGCTATGTGATACTGATTTCACATTTTACTAGATTCAGCATAAGCAAGTTAAAATAGTGCACTCGATGTTGCGGACACATGTCATAAGTCCTTCTATTAAATGTTGAACCTTTAAAGCGTATATACCGAAGTAATGGGCCAATATTTTGGATTTAGCATGTGACCTAAGTCTGATATTAGTATTTCGACGTATCAGGTTTGAGCTGTATCGACTACTTCCATTACAATACATGAAATATATAAAAATGATTCAACTTTTTGGGGGATTTACCAGAAATATTGAACCGACATACATCAGATCTTTTATCGAAAAAGATTTTGAAAAAATCTCAGACCTTTTACAATGTATAAGGGTTAAAATTATTCGGACTCTTACATCACATTTTATAAGGTTGAAATTACTCAAAAAATTGATCCTTTGTGGGGGAGGTATTGTCCTTTTTCGCAGTTGACCTAGCACTGATGCAAATATTACGATTTGCAAAGTTGAAGCAAAATCGGATTATCGTTTCTCTTTCTGTGTAGAAAATATATTTTATGAAAATTTCGACCTTTTGGGGGGAAGATACCAGAGGGTGTGGACCGGTATTGCCCATCTTCGAGCTCGATCTAAGTTTGACAAAAATATTACGATGCACCGTGTTTGGACCAAATCAGATACTCCCTTCGAGAGTTATTGTGCACACCAGCCAGACAGACATACAGACGGACGGACGGAGGATTGGGATGTGTAAAATGTGAAGATAATCGAATGCGTATTTCGAATTTTATGAGAGTTATAATTATTCAAAATTTTTACTCGTTGTGGGGGAGGTACAAAAAGGAGTAGTCCGATACATTCTAAGTTGACAGTAAATGTTATGCTGATAAACATATTGATCCTAGTTTGAAGGGAATCGGATGCTCATTTCGCGTTTAATTCGCGTAGCGGAAGAGCTAGAAGAAAGAGTGGACCAATATCCGAGATCTTGAGTTGGTAGATATATTGGGATGTGTGATGTTTCAGGATAATCGAATGCTTTTTTTCGCTTTTCATGAAAGTTAAAATTATTCAAAATTTTGACCCTTTGTGAGGGAGATACAGGATGTAGTGGTCCGATATTGCACCTGGTTGGATGATCCCTTCCTGTTCTATACGGTATATTATTTTGTGTTAAAATCTTAACCTTTTGTGTGAGAGGTACCTGAAGAGGTTGACCGATATTGTCCATCTCTGAACTCGACTTAAGTTTGACAATAATATTACAATGTACCCAGTTTGGATCAAATCGGATATTCCGTTCGAGGAATAGATAGATCAAATGTCCTGAAACAGATTTGGTCCGAGGAGATCTAGGGCCCAAAAACACACCCCTGACCTAAGTTAAAAAAATGTGAGGGGGTACTCGAAGGAATTAGCCAATATTGTCCACTTTCCCGTTGAACCAAGTCTAATTTAAATATTACGATGTGCCAAAAGTCGGAAACTGATTTCACATTAAACTAGAGTTATTATTATTCAACCTTTAGAGAGGTATCAGAAAGAGTTGGCTAATATTATTCACATTCGATACTGTCCTAAATCATATAAAAATATTACAATGTGCCAATATTAAACTTTTTTGGTACTCCAAGCTCAATATGACATTTAAGTTTATTCCCAAAATTTTGAACTGCTGTAGGAAATGTAGCAGAATTAGTGGACTTTCACATAAGAAATAGTGAATTGGGGAACTGTGAAGTATAACACGATTAGGGCATACCCTAAGAATGGTAAGAGTCATTTATTAAAAATCTGTTCTCGATGAGAAAAATCAGCAATGTTTAAAAAAACTTCAGATACTCTAGAGTGTAATTTTCTTTGTTTCGTTTTTAATTTGGTTCTTTACAAAATTTCTGAATACTAACTAGAGTTTCAGGAACGTCACAAAATAATAGTCAAAGACTCGTCTATTAACCCTCCTAAAATGACGACAATTTTTAAATTCGTATATAAAAAAATTCCTTTTAAGTTGCTCCTTTCGGGTCGTCCATGAACACCATTTTAGTCGCCTGTAAAGACTACATTAAAGTCACACTTAAACAACAGTTTCAAATGGACTTAAAGACTTATTTGAAACATTTTTGAGGCTCATTTCAAGACATCTTTAACAAGTTCCATGAAGTCATCTTAAAATGATAATTTTATATCTTATATTAGGACTAGTCGAAATAGTCATATATAAAAAATTATTTTCGATCGTATAAGATAAACACCAAAAAAATCCTTTTACTTTATCTATAAAGTTCTCCGGTGATGACTCCTTTATGGACGTCAATAAAGACCCCTTATCAGTTGTGTTTATAAGTCGACTAATTATATTCTCCCTAGTCATTTTAACTAGTATATGTCCTCTTCCAGAAAACTGACTTTTTGCAACACTTTGCAGATGACCTGAAAATGCGTTCGAACTGCAATAATAATTAACACGGACCTCAAATAATAAAAATAAAAATGTATGAGTTTCATGAGTTAAAGTGTAATATTGGTAGTCTTTATTAAGTTTTTATTTTCTTTTGACATTAAAGGCTTTTATTAAATGACACGTAAATTTAATTTGTATTTTTCTTTGCTAAGAGATTTGGTTTTTAATTTCCATTGAGTATTAGTATAGTATTCAGTAAAATATACACAGCATAAGAAATAAAGTCTAACAAAAGGTATTTTTATTATTTTTTTTATTTTTGTTTTTTTAATGTTTCACTTATTTGGTAACAGCTGCCCTTATAGAGTCGTTATCAGTTGTGTTTTAGTAAAAAGTAGAGTTAAGTGGTAAAATCGTTTGATGTAATTTTTTTTTTTTTTTTGCGAGACATACAGCAAAATGGGACAAAGGGTTTTTTAATAGGTCTACTGTTAATAATTTTAATTTATATTGAATATGGTTTCATTTATTTAATCCGCCCGCGGAAGAGTATTGTGTTTCTATTGTGCGATTGATGAAAGAAAAACTGTTATTATCCAAGGGCAAGAGGAAGTAGAATAAGGTAACAAAGCTTTAAATCTTTAAAAAAAAAATCTTAATTTCATCAACACTTAGTGGGAAGCCCGTACACTTGGGGAAAGTATGGGCTTTCCTGATGAGAAGAGGCAAAGTTCCACCACTCTATACTTAGAAGAAGAAACAGTTGATTAAAATATCCAAGACCTATTGGTGGTTATCTATTTCCGCCTACATGTTAGCCATAAACCAGAAGATGTTAATATTGAAGGAAAGTTGTCAAACGCATTGCAATTATATAGTGAATCTGCAAGTGGAACATAAATTTGGACAGATTTCGAATTTTAAAATATTTCGTTACCTGTATAATTTACATTGTTTTAATATAAAATCCAAGAGAGTTTTGCTTTAAAATAGACATTTTTAAAGAGATCAGCTAGGCACGTGTGTAATAAAGTCAGAGTCAAGAAAAATAACTTTGAGTAAAATTACTTATTTCATTGTAAATCAAAATGTTAAGCATTGGAAATATCATATCCCTTGATATAACTTCTAAGTATATAATAGGCCGGTAGTTCGCTTTTAAATTTAATTTCTCCGATTTGAGTTCATTGGTGTGCCAACTCGCAAGTTCAATCCCCTTTCGCAAAAAAGAAAAAAAAATTACAAGTAAACAAGTAAAAACGCTCAAAATTCGGCCGGGCCTCCACCATATGGAACGAATTTGGCAATTTTCAAATAAAAACCAATTAAAAATTCTGTAAAAATCTTAAAGCTACCGAATTTAGCCGTTATATTATCATAAGCCATTATAACATTCAAACATGCGAAATTTGAAAAAAAAAAATCGGTCAATAATGTAGCTATGGCAATATTAAAACGTGGACCTGCACAGACAATTTTCAGTCATATGCTGTAGTATCCATTACGTACTTCAAATACAAAATTTCAAACAATTTCGGTGAATAATGTCGCTAAAATTATCAAAATACTGAATATCCGCGGTTACTGTTACGTGGGGGCTATAGGAAGACGTGAACCTGCACAGAAATTTTTCTGCCTGAGGCTGTACTATCCATTACGAACTTCAAATACCAAATTTGAAACATTTCAGGTGAATAATGTCAGTAAAATTATGAAAATGACGAATATATGGAGGTACCGTGGTATTGGGGCTATACGAAGACGTGGACCTATATGGCCCATTTTCAATACCAAAAGTCCTGTAGACATAACATACATTTGAGCGAAATTTTAGCAATCTATTTCAATTCGTTCGGAAGTTAGAGTGATTTCCACAGACGGACATAGCTAACTCGACATAGAATTTTATGCTGATCAGGAATACATATACGGTCTAAAATATATGTTTCGAGGTGTTACAAATGGAATGACAAACTTAATATACCCTCCATAAAAACAGCGAAGTTCGGACGGGCGGAACCCTTAAAACCCTCCAACATTTGGAAGAAATTTGCAGAATGTAAACAATTTCCTTTTGAATTGACAAATATTAAAAATTCCGGATATCAGTTGTTATAGTTATACAAAGCTATACAAAAACGGGGAACAGCAAATTATCTGTCAAAGACAGCGTTCGAAAATAAACAGTATGGTACTGTACCGTAGTGTTCTGTACCGTTCCGAGGTGGAGTGGTACACTAAGATAATGTACCGTACCGGAGCACAACCATTAAAAAATATTTTAGTGATACTGTACCGGAGCACAACGAGAATCGTACTGTACCGCAGTCGGAGCACTAAAAAACGTAGCGTTCCGCAGTCGGAGCACTACAAAATCGTAGTGTACCGCATGGCGGAACATTAAAAAAAATAATATATCGGTAGTGTACCACATATTTGTTGTTTACGATTTGTGAGAAAAATTAGATGTTTTATGTTTTTGATAATGCAAAAATTACTAGCATAATTCAATATTATGAAAATAAAAGCTGGATTTATTTTATTTGTCATGTATGTTTAGATTGGTTGCAAGATTGAAGAAAGTAGAAAAATATGGGAATAGGAAGAAAGAATAAAAAGGACCAAATCTGAAGTCATAATAATTTGTATTTAACCATTGAAAATTGAAATTTTCCGCGAAAAAGGGTATTTTAGTGGTTGCATTGTAATGGGTTATTATGCAAATAATTTACCTGCTATTTTGTGGTACCAAAAAATAAATGAATGTAGGTGTAAAAAACTAAATATTTTACAGTGTATAGCTGAGTGTTTAAAATCAGTTTTATGATTTCAATTTTTTTAATGTGGTAAAATCGTAGTGTAGATTTTTAATGCTCCGATTGCGGAACACTACGTTTTTTTAGTGCTCCGACTCCGGTACACCACGATTTTTTAGTGTTCCGACTGCGGTACACTACGATTTTTTAGCGCTCCGACTGCGGTACACTACGATCATCGTTGTGTTCCGGTACAGTATCACTAAAATATTTTTTAGTGGTAATGTACCGGAACACTACCGCTAAAAATTTTTTTAGTGATACTGTACCGGTACAGTACACTATGTTAGTGTACTAATAGGTACGAATATAGGTACCGTTATATGGAGATCATATGAAGACGTGGACCTTTATAAGAAATTTTCTGTCAGTTGTCTATTACGAACTCCAAATATCAAATTTGATACAAATCCGGTGCAAAATGCGATACAAATCAACGAAATACCGAACATCGAGGGGTACAGTTAGGCGGAGATTATTCTTATACTTGGATCTATATAGACAGTTCTTTGCAAAGATGTTTCCCATATATGTGGAACACTAACTGCATATTTACAGCAAATTCCGTTTAAAAATATGACTAAAACATCTAAAACACCTTAAATGTGGCGGTACAGTTATATGGGGCTATATCAAAATGAGCCTACTTAATTTCGTTAGTAAGCTGGAGTAATTTCCACAGACAGATAGACATACAAACAAACGAAAAGACAATCTTAATATAGACAATATAGCAAAGGCTACAGAAGGGCGCGCCGACCATGGGATATCCTATAACACTAAAATTTACGGTTAAGATTTTATATATCTGAAACCCCTTGGACTGGATATTGGGATACATAATCGGATTACTTAAAAGATCACTCTAAAAATTATGTTTGGTTCTTAAGGGGTTAGAAATAATTTAATAAATTATTGTGTTAAGGTCATTCCGTATATTTACATCCTCTGTCGCACTTATAGAAATTCGAAACAACATTTGAAAACTTAGATTCAACCAAAATGGTAGGCCTTTTCCTTATCCTAAACTGTAACCCCGTGTAAAATTACGCGTCTATGAATCTTGTTGATCCATTTCATCACCTTTAACAATAGACTACTATTCTAACCCTAACGTAATTTTATTTTAAGCCTAACTTCATTTATTGTGGGTCCAAGACCAATATTTCGAGGCATTTCAAATAGCGTTAAGTAGTTCCACCACAAAGAAATAGAGATTGTAAAATAGTTAGAATAATTTAATTAAAACCTTCCTAGCGTGGAATACAGATTGATAATTATAAATCGAGATTCAGAATTTACATCAATCCGAAAGACATGATCTCCTCTAAATAATTTTGGAAGCTATAGATAAATTTCCTTGCTGTTTGGCTTTGATAAACTTTTTAACTCCTCCATCAACTATTTTCGAAGCCAAAAGGATCCAAAAAAAATAATAAGAAGCTTTGACCGTAGGGCTCGACTTTGAGAAGACATTAACTCCGACGTATACAACGGTATTCTCTTCAAGAAGCAGTAAATTAGAATCGATTAAAAACATACAGACTGGCAATTTCCTGAAATATAGGGTCTTTAGAGTCGAAAGAGGAGATAATTTTTCGAACGCAAGAATTATATTGGCAAGGGTCATTCAGGCCTACCTTTTGGGGCCGATCCTATCAGGTACATTATAACTCTTATCTGACGTTTATGTCATCTTGTGAAAGTCTGGATCAAGAGTTAATTTATTCGTCTTAACATGCATCATGAGCAAATCCATACATACCGACTTTGACAAGACAGCGGCATTCTCTTCAAGGAGCAGTAAATTGGAATCGAGTAAAAACATTCAGACTTGAATTCTCCTGAAATATAGGCTCTTTAGAGTCGATATAGGAGACGCAAGCAAACTGGGAAACTTGGGACCGATCCTATCAAGTATTTTATAACTCTTTTATGACGTTTATGTCATCTTGTCAAGTTAATTTACTCGTCTTAACGTGCATCATGAGCAATTCCATATATAGATACTCCCGTATGTGAGGCCTCAAGATGAATGTGGACAAATATACCGTTGTACTTCTCAAGAGTAAAGCCAACTTTAGATCCTTTTATCCGGTCCTGAAAATTAAGAGTAAAACCATGCCTCTGGTTGAAAAACTTAAATATCTGGGTGTAATGGTCAATAAAAGATACTAATCTATTACACATGTGTCAAAGAGAATATTCTTTGGCATACTATCGAATCGGATAAAACTTCCGATTTAGAAATAAATTATTCGTCTCATTATCTCTTAAGAGTGGTTTCTGATTTGATCAAACCAGATAAATAAATTGAGGAAACGGGAAAGGTGTGTCCTATCATCCCATTTTCTGGGGCTCCGAAGTATGTGGTGGCTTTCAAAATTAGAATTTTTAGATAATTTCAGAACAGTTTGCTTCAAAATTTATTTATTTTTTGTCTGCCAAGCCAAAACGCACAAACATTGAAAGCTTTTAAGGTGGCCTATATTTACTGTAAATTACTCAACTTCTCATAACTGCCCTTGGATGTTGTAGTGTGTCAAAATAAAGAGCGTTAAGTGTTTTGTTTTTTTTTTAATTTCAGAATTTTTATTGTTATTAAAATAAACTTGTACATGCATTCGTTTGGGGTGGTAGTTCTCTGTTTAATTTTTTGGATTTTTTACATTTTTTTCTACACTTGATTTGTGTGTTTAAAATTAATAACGTTTTTTTTTTTTCTCTTTTAATTTTGATTTCATATTTTTTTAATTATTCTTTTTTTTGCAATATTTCTTTAAGACATTTAGCCAGTTGTATTTTATAACAATGTTTACACTCATAAATTGTTTTTATTATGTTTACAGCATATTTTTTGTTTATGAGAGTGTGTGTGTGGGAGTATTTGTATGCGTGTTTGGCTGGTTGTTTGGTTTGATGTTTGTTGTTTGGTGGGTGGGTAGTTGGGGTAATTGTCGTGTATTTATATAAGTACATATACATATATCATTATTTACTTTTTTTATATAATAATAATTAATTATAATCAATATATTCGTTTAAGCTGTTTTGTGTTTAACATTTGTGTGTGGGAGGAGTTTGGGAATAAGGAGCGTTTTTTTAGTTTTATTTTTAGGTTATGTTCGTTTCGTTCATTTTGTTTTTTTTTTTTATTTTGTTAAAATGCGTGACTTGTGTTTTTCTTTTGTTTTCCAATGTCTTTTTTCTTTTTCCTCACTTTAGCTGCTCATTTTCTTTACCTTTTTGGTTGGGTTGTGTGGAATTCTCTGAAATCTCGTTTGAATTATTTGCAAGGACAATAAAGGATAATCGTTCAAATTGAAAGGAAGCTCTGTCAATCCGTGTGTTTTCTTTAGTTTTTCTTCATTCCTTGGGATTTTATGCGTATGCTTGATTTGAGACAGGGGGTGCTGGGATGCTGTGGGGTCTTGGAAGCGTTAGTTAAGCGTTTACTTTCTCGTTAAATGATTTTTATGCAAATGATACAAATAACGCTCAACCTGATTATCATCGTTAATGCCGTTTTTGTTGCTAGTCACACTCTTGTTGTTGTTGTTGGCATTGGTGTTGCTATCGTCAGAATTATCGTTAGGAGCATTTGAACCCTCATTAAGAGCCAGAGTCGCTAAATCGTTTAATTTGAAATCGTTGTTGCTGTTTTTGTGATGTTTTAAAGAGGACAAAAGACTCTCTTTGGGCTCACCCTCGTGACCACTGAGATTGATTGGTTTTTTCATTGTGGTTTCGTGGCGTTCATCACTCTGGCCATTGGCAGCCACCACCATTGGTTGGAATGCCAGTTTAATGCCATCGCTAACCACATCCAAGTCATCCATGCCACCATCATTTGCTCCATTGACATTCTCATCATCGTAGCTATCGAACGACATTGATGTCCTTCTGTCGTTTGCCATCCAAGGTCGTCGTCGTTGTTGTTGTTGTTGTCGCTGCTGCAGATAATCAAAAATTAATGTTGAGGGTATTAATTCCAAATCGTCGTAGGGTTGCATTGCCATCGATTCGCGTTGCATGTCACCAGCAACATCATCGTTCATTTGGTGTCGCTGTGATTGCTGGCCACCATCACCGCCGTTCATGGCATCCATCCATTGTTGCTCCAGAGTGGGCAACAACGGATGGGGATGTTTGTTCAGCATACGTTTGCCAACATTTTTCAATATAGCCCGATTCAATTCCACCTTTTACCACGAATAATGGTCACCATCCAGGGCACAAAACGAATGAAAGTCATGAAAGAAAAACGAGAAAAAGAAAATGGATAATAGAAACATGAATTACAAAGTTTTTCAGTGAGGGACATCGTCGTTGGGGGAAATTAAATTCTATTCAATATTTATGTACAATTTTTAACGGCCAGGGGCCATTTGTTAAACATATGTTGAGAACAATTAAATAAAATGTTAGTATTTCCTAGATGTCTTACATTGTATTTCTGAGAGGAAATATATTAAATTTATAACCTTTAAAAGATTAAGAGAATAACACTTATGCGTTTGTCAGGATTTACTTTAATGGAACATAAAACGTTTATTGATTTAATTCATATTACGAAAATATAAAATAACAAAGGAATTGTTCGATGTGAAAACATAAAATAATTTTAAAAAAACTAAACGAAATGGAATGCGCGTATGCGCTACGACATCTATGCAACAACTGCTCGCCAATCCGGGCTGCTGCTACGTCTTCCTCTTCTCTTCGTTAAAAATTAATTCGATTTTGCATAGTTGCAAATTATCGTACTCTTACAGTCGGCCATTCTGTCGATCAATCGTCCTCGATTGAAACTTCTTCTTTGAATCCGCTTTCACTATTGTCGTCATCGTTGGGTGGTAGGGTACACCATTGTTTTAATTTATCAGATGCGTGAATTGATTTATAATGACGTTGTTTTCGGTTAGCACCTGGTAAATCTTCAATAACATATCGATCGTTTTCTAAAACGTGCGTTATTATAAAAGGACCTTTATATAGGGGCTCTAACTTTCTAGAATGTCCAGTAGCTGTCGGTTCGTTTTCTATTAAAACCAGATCACCTTCCTTATATCGTGTTGGGCTCGCATGACGTTTATCGTACCGTTGTTTCGCGACTTGTCGTTGCTGGTTAATTCGATTAGCTGATTCGTCTCGTATTCCCTGCATGTGCTCTTCATCAAATGTTTCGCTGTGATGCAACGCTAATACTAATTTGTTCTGTAGTATATCTCTAGGTTGATACGCGAATAATAATTCTTGTGGTGTACGGCCAGTAGTTTTGTTTTTCATTGTATTTATTGACCATTGGATCCGTCGTATTTGTTCGTCCCATCGTCTATCTTCTTTCACCATTGGTAGAAGCATTCCAAGTATTGTACGGTTTGTTCTTTCGGCGTGACCATTCGCTCTAGGTGTTCTTACTGCGTTAAGAATATGTTTAATATCATTGTCTTGACAAAACCGATGGAAATCTTTGGAGGTGAAAGACGTTCCTCGGTCCGTTATGATGCGTGTTGGGAATCCAAAGTATTCACTGATTTCTTTTAAAATGTTTATTACGTACTTGGTTGCTGTACTCCTTACTGCCCTTACTATTGTAAATTTTGTAAATGCGTCCACGATGACCAATATATGTTCGTTTTGCTTAGAACTTTTAGGAAACGGCCCTAAGTGATCCATATGCACAGTATGGAATGGGATCGGGGTTATGTTGTTAAAATGATACTCTCCTTCGCGTTTTCCGCCAACGTGTTTGTTGTATGCACACTCGATACATGACTTAATATACGACTTAACAAAGTTTCGCATTCGAGGAAACCAGAAGTGTTGAGTTAGCCCTTGTATCGTTTTTTCAAGTCCTAAATGACCAGCATTATCATGTTGTTCTTGAACTACCTTCCAGCGTATTGCTTTAGGAACTACCCACAAAAGTTTATTGTTTATTTTCCGGAACAATCTTCCATTTTCAATGATATATTCGCTGCATAACGTTTTTTCTTTGGCGATAACTCCGTCGACTATTTTCCTTATTTTCTCGTCCTGAAGTTGCATTGAGAATAACCAATCTTCTTCACTTACGGTGGTTTTTGATATACGCATCGATGCTGTTTCGGTTTCATTCGGTTTCTCATATGGTGCTCGGCTTAGAGCGTCAACGTGTTCCATTTTTGATGATGCTCGGTGTTCTATTTTGACGTCAAAGTCCTGTATACGTAGCCACCATCTCGCAATTCGGGGTATTAATTCCTTTTTCTGCATGGTCGTTTTTAATGCACTACAATCAGTAATTACCGTTATTTCTTTGCCGTATATATAATATTTAAACCGTTCCAACGTTTCGACAACTGCCAATGTTTCAAGTTCGTAACTATGATAGTTTTTCTCCTCATCGGTCGTTGATCTGCTGTAAAAAGCTACAGGTTTCCACACATCGGTTTCCTTCTGCATCAATATTCCGGCAATACCTATGGAGCTTGCGTCCGTATGAATCTGGTGTTCACTATTCATGTTGTACGCTACCAAAATCGGGTTGGATGTCAAATACGTTTTTAATTCGTGGAATGCCGCTTCCTGCTTCTCACCCCAATAAAACGAACAATCCTTCCTCAATAATACACGTAGAGGTTCTGAGATGACTGCGTATGCGGGAACGAATTTACGAAAATAACTGGTCAATCCAAGAAATTGTCGTACGGCTGTTATATTTGTGGGGGTTGGAAATTCAAGAATTGCTGCCGTTTTCGCCTTCCCTGGGCTTAGACCGTCGGAGTGTAGTTTATGACCAAGAAATTCTATAGATTCGTTTAGGAATGTGCATTTTTGGAAATTCAGCGTTAAATTTAGTTCTCGTAAGACTGAAAATACTCTCCGCAATTTGTCCAACATTTCGCCAATACTATTACTTCCCGCAACGATATCGTCCATATAGTGGAATACATCTCCGTCGCGAGCTCTCTCGCGGATTAGTGCCATTAAACGCTGAAACACTGCCGGCGCGTTCTTAAGTCCAAAAGGCATTCGTTTAAATTCGTACAACCCATCTGGTGTCACAAATGCAGTATACATTTTACTATTATCGTCCATCGGAACCTGGTAATATCCGCTGTTCAGGTCCAGGACCGTGTAGTATTTGAATTGGTTTATCTCTTGCAGTCGTTCTTCGATATTTGGAGTTGGAAATATCTCCTTTACTACGTGCTGGTTTAATTTTCGATAATCGACGCATAATCTATCCTGACCGTTTTTCTTTTTTACAAGTACAATTGGGCTGGCATACGTGGACGTAGATTTTGTTATAATATCGTTCGCTAAAAGTTCATTTATCATCGTTTTTACTATTTCCTTTTTCGGTTCGGGTATTCGGTATGGCCTGGATACAATAGGTTCCTTTGTCGTCAATTCTATTTTCATTTTTAATTCGTTCGTTAATCCGATTTCGCTGATGTCTCTTCCCATAACATTTCTATGCTCGTTTATCAGTTCACACAACATAATCCGGATATCTTCGTCGTTTACTCCACAATTGATTTCAGATAAGGCAATCGGTTTTCGTTCCGTTTTCCGTGTCGTGAATACTTTGGCGTTTTCTAATCGTTGCTCCTTATCATTTACTATCAGCTGTATTTCATTGTTCGTAAAAATGTCTTTTCCAAGAATTAAGTCCGGGGTAAAAATATGATCATCCGCAACGTAAAGTTCTGCCGTAATTTCAATATCATCAATCGTAAGTTTTGTTGTCAAGACTTCTTCGATTACACACGTTCCACCACAAACTCCACTGATACGTAACTTGCATTTTCTAATGTCGACTCCTAGCTTATACGCGACTGTTTTATGGATCATGCTGCATTCACTACCGGTATCAATCAAGGCATCGTATGTAAAACCATTTATGGTGACAGGTTTATGGTTGAGTACTTTACGTACGCTACAAGTTTTTGTTTCTGTACGTCCACAATGTGTCGGTGAATTTTTAGGATGAACTTTGTGACAATCTCGGCATCGTTCTCTTCGCGGTGGTTTTGGGCATTGACTGGAAATATGTCCTGGTTCGGAACAATTGTAGCACATTACCTTTGGGTCCGCTTTCTTACGCTTATCGACATCCTCCTTGGTGTACGGATCGCGTTTCCCTGTTGAAGACATTAGATTTGACCTGTTGCTACAATTAGCGATGCTCGCAAAATATTGTCCTGATGCTTCACGTAACCCTCGCATTGTTCGAAACCGTATTGGTGCAATTGCTTGCTGTAGCTCACGATGCTTCAATCCGTCACGAGTATATTTCACTGCCGCTGTTTCACTGATACCATACCGTCTTCCCAGTGCGCTCATTCGAAAACAGTATTCGCTGATGGATTCGTCTTGCCGTCGTACGGTTGATGTCATTTTAAAATGAATATCTGCTTCATCCGCGTTTGTGCTGAATTCCTCCATTAAGGCGTTTGCTAACTCATTCCACGTTCCGAAAAATTCTGGAGTCGAATCAAGCCATAACTTTGCTGGGCCTTTTAACTTTCTATACACGGCGAGTAGCAAAAGAGTTTCTTCACACTCGTAGGCTTGTGCTGCTTTCTCTACTCTATCGATGAATTGTTCTACGCCGAATGTTGAATCCTTTGTTGGATCGTACTCCGGTAAGATTTCCGCCATTTCTTGTACACTGTACGTTCTCTGGATGGGCTCGTAACTCGGTTTCTGGGTAAGAGCTGATTCATTCACCTTGGACTCGTTGCTTTCGTTTGCTGGTAAATCGACGATGGGTGTTGTTACTTGACGTTGTTGTTGTATGATTGACATCACATTTTCCATCATATCTTTTAAAGTATTAATTTGGGATTGTATTGACACTTCCTCCTCTACGCCATCAATATCTTCACACTCGACCTCATCGCTACCTAAAGCTCTAGATAACCGTTCGACCAGTTCACTTTTCTTTCCCATCGTGTCTAATTTTCTTTCGCGAAGTAACCGTTTTAATGTATCAACTTTTAATGATGTTATTTTCGGCATGTTGTTTCGTTTTGATCTCTTTTTAATTGTCCCTCCGTTTACTAATCGTTTAGCCTTTTTCGTTTTCCGTCCGTTTTTATTAGTTGTTTATGTTCGATAATTATCGTTTTTTTTTTTTTTTATTTCGTTTCGTTCCTATTTATTTTCCATTTGAGTCGTTTTGCTTTCGTTTCCAGTTACGTTTGAGTTG